TTGGTAAAATGGATCGGTAAAATTTTTCGCGTACAGTACGTATAGTACTGTACGCGGCACATCACTACGCGTAACCTACGGCGACTAAGTCGAAATAGGCGTGTTAGATTTAGTTGGTGGATTCTTGTCCGTAGGTAAGTACTGGTCTCCTCTTTGAGTTTTTCCTTGAACCTATTCTTATTTTAATTCTTATCTTCCTTTATGCCTCAACCCGGGATTTCACTACGTCAAATCGAGGTTGGAACTCTTCTCTTACGTTTCGGTCTACTGGGCATGTGACTATGGCTAGCGATCAATTACGGTTTTTCGGTTATTCTTTAGGCGAACGGGTAATGTTAGTAATGAAATTAACGATAGTTACTGGTTTTTATAGGATAGCACTTTCACTTTTATTAAGGGTCGGATATTTAGTTTTATTTTTGTACTTGTAATCACTGGCTTTTTTGCCTGAACGAATTGCCCTTTATTTATAATAAACTCTCTTTTCTGTTTACATTATGAATTGTCTAATATATCGAACCTATCTAATTTATCCTATATATTGCATCTATTTCATATATTCTACTTATGCGATATGTGAGATATATCAGATATATCGATTATATTTGACATATCTGACATTTCTGACATTCGGGATCTACCCACGTGATAACGGTCACGTTTTCGGATCTCACAATATGTGGTTTTTTTAAAATTTTAATTTCTGGGCAAAGACTAATAATGCATTTATTAAATTAAATGATTTTAAAATTCTTATTTACTGACGAAGACTAACGTATGTAATTCTTATTCGCTTACGAAAACTAATATTAGATTGGGTGGTTTTTTAAAATTCTTATGTGCGGGCGAAGACTATTATTAGGTCGACCAGTTTTAAACTCTTATTTACTGGGTGAAAACTAATATGATATCTGATGGGTTTTGAAAATTTATTGTTGAGTGAAGACTAGATTAGATTGAGTAATTTTTTTATGGTTTTTATTGGCTGATCGAAGGTAATATTAAACCGAATAGTTTTTTAAAATTCTCATTTGCTGAGCAAGGACTAATATTAATTCAATGTAAAACTATTAGCTTTTTTTGTAACTTAAAAAAAAATGTTATTTATTTCTAAATAACAAATTTTATTTATGGTTTCCAAGTATTTCAGTATTTACATGCGATTTTTTAATTGTTGGACTTCCGGATCATTGACCGTAAGGCTGTTTTTTGATACTTTGAAATGAAAACTAAGCTCAAATGAGTCATAAGTTTCATGAACAATGGTTTAGATAATTAATAATTTGTTTAAAAGAAGCGATGCACGATGATTTATAATTCGCAAATATTAATAATCATTTCAGCCTCCATATGGAACCATTTAAATGACAAGTATACAGCTAATAATGTTCAGCGAGATATTAACTTATCTATAATACGAGTGGGAGTAATATTACTAAGTAACTATACCCCTCTCTCTCCACCCTAAAATCTAATTTATTGTTCTTTCGTATTCAATAATCCTTATTTTGTAACATCCTAGCCTGATTTATCATAATTACGAATGAATCAGAATCGACCATCCACTGTTACGGGGTCAATTTAACGTTTTAAAGGCAATTGTTTAAGAATAAAACGAATATGCGTTAAGGTGATATAGCGCTATAATTATGCTTATTTATTACGGAAGCAGAATTCGATAAAGATTAATTCAATCGTTATGCAGGACGAGGATTAAGTAATAGATAGAATTATTTATTTATTTATTTTACTATTACTGTCCCGAAGGGTCTTCTTTTTTTACAAAGAAAAATGGCACTCTTTTATAAACAAACTATCATAAAAGGCATGGGGAAGGTACAACAACGCTTTCGTTAATTCTGCCAAACTATTCCTTTTGTTCCTTTGCCTTTCAGGTTTCCCTTTACACGTAATTCTTTCTTGAACCTTCTTCTCTTTGCTTATTGCTAGAATATTTCAGCAATTTCGTCTAAGCCTCATAGACATACACCCCGTGACACCACTCAGTATATATATATGTGTGCAGTTATAGATGAACCGCACGCCTTTCGAGTTTATTATTTATTATTTACCCCAGAAATAAGATAGGTTGTAGAATCCGATACTTAGTTTTGTTTGGATGCGCTCGTCACCATAATATTTTTGGGGACAACTACCCCATAGCAATTTTATTTTTATCCTTGAAAATGGATACTTATACAATGTGCATAAATTTTGAGCTAACGATAAAAAAGGCCTCCTTTTAGCGACATTCAACACTTGATTTATTTAATTTAATTTATTTATTTATTTAATTTAATTTATTTATTTATTTAATTTAATTTATTTATTTATTATTTAATTTATTTATTTATTTTATTTATTTATATATAAATTATTTTTATTACTACCGTTACAGTAAAGACATTGCCCAATCCAAAGTGAATCCCTCTCGCCTGTGATCAATCACAAATTAAATTATATATGTTGGATTCAATTGTGATGGATATAATCCCTCACCGCCCCTAATATATGAGTAACATTAACAGTCTCTGCTGTATACTACTGCTACAGTCTCATAGGCAGAAGTTTGTCTGATTGGCTAATAAATTCAATTTAATTTTACATTAATTATACAGTTTAGAGTACTTTTTTTAAAAAAAACGAAAACCAACCATAATGAAGTAAAAAAAAAAAACCATATAGAAGGTTCCATTAGAGCTGTAGGACTCCATAGTCAAAAATAATATCTAATTCTCATCCGTTTAAAAAAGTTAGTATAATAATAACTTCTCAAGACCCGATAAAATCGACTTATTACAACTAATTTTATTAAACAGACGATAATTAGATCTTATTTTTGACTATGGAGTCCTACAGCTCTGATGGAACCTTATATATGGGTTTTTTTACTTTATTATGGTTGGTTTTCATTATATGAATGTACCTGGCTTTAACAGACCCCAAAGTTGGTAGCACATAGGCAGAAGTTCATCCGATTGACAGTTTAGAGTGCACCAAAAAAGTAACCCTAACTGGAATCTGGCTTTAATGTTCCCCCCAAATTTGGAATTGTTGATCGTCCCCTTTTTTGCGGTAAGGGATTTCATCGGCCTGATCCGTGTCGATCACAACAAACAATTTCATTGGCCAAATCTCACGTGACTGCATGGCCCTTTTTTTAGTTCTATAGTACAAATTCTGACCGCCTTTTAAAGACTCGTGGATCCATTTTTAAATTACTCTTTTTTTAAAAAATAGAAATCGATTTTAGAATAACATTTTAATATATTACAGAGCAATTTCTACATCAGGGTAAAATAACCGACTGCATCAAAATCTATATAAATCATAACATTTCTTTGATTTATTAAAAAAAACTTTAACTATTAAAATTTTGCTAGTATTAAAAGTATTAATTTCGTCAACGCCGTCAGATACAGGTATGAAGATATAACGTGTAGAATACATAAAGGCGATCATACTTGAATATTTTTTTACAAAGATATTTTTTTGTCTTTACAAATTTATTTTTAATACTAATATTCCACAAAATAACGCTTGATGCGTTATTTCAAGTCATATTAAAGAGAGTTAAATTCATTTAAACAAATATTTTGAAACATAAAATTATTATTCCGATTCAGTTAAATTAATTTTTAGTTCTTTTTAAATTACGTACATCGAAATAGCGTCCTGGTTAGTCATTTCGTGAACATATGATAAAAGAAACTATAATTAGTTTTTGGAACTTCCTGATACAATTCTAAAAAGCAATTGTCAATCAGTGATTGAAATCTTTAATTAATAAAATTTTATAAAATAAGGTAATTTATTCTTTAATCCTTCGATATTATTAAAAACCGCATGATCCCACCACATTCATCGTTATTTATATTAATTTTCTTTTTTGGGTTTGTAGTATTGGATCAAATAAGTAAATCTTGGTGGAAGTCATCTGTTTGTAGGCTAATTATTTGTCATCTCATTTAGTGGATAATAACTGCGTTCGGGTTTGATTACGTACAGTCCCGTGATGATCTGCAATTTACTCTTATCCATTTCGTGTAACGCAGATCATTTCACTTTTTGGCAAAGGATCTACAATTGGAAAATTATTTTTAGTTCTATTGTACAAATTCTGTACCAATCATTGCCCGTGTTTTTATTTGGTGCACAACTGCCTTTTAAAGACTCGTGGATCACGGTAGATCCTTAGACTACATACTTAGAAAATAACTTGCGAAAAAAATTTTAGATTTTTTTTACATTGTTTATTTTACATAGGAATCGATTTTAGAATAACTTTTAATATATTGCAGATCAATTCAACTCTCGATATACCGGTGGTTACACAGACCGCCGACTACAGCAGCCGCGGCTAAGCCGACCTAGCCGGCTTGGCCAGCCAATGTAATGTGATCGGCTGGCTAATGCGGCTAAAGATCATATGATTTAGTTTATGGTTTGATTCCAGTAAATTCCGAAAAGGAACATAAAATTGACAGAAAATTTACCGAAAGTTTCCGGAAGTATGGCTGTTAGCCAACCTATTAGCCGATATATTAGTCAGCTGGCTTAGCCAGCCGACTAAAACCTTACGGCTAGATTATAAAAATTTAATTTATACTATTTAGAATGAGTTCGACAGTCCGTGTAACCACCAGTATATGAGCTGACTGTAGCAGTCGAGAATCAAGCGCAGATCGTCACGAGACTGCTACGCAATCAATTTTGTCCAATCGACAACAGGAAGATCATCATCCAATCAGATGATGAGGGTAAGTTAGTAAACCCACTTCATGTGTTTAAGATTTGTGAGAAATGATTCAGCCAGCATGATAGCTAATATTAGATTCTAATGATATGCTTATTACTATTATGAGTGCATTTATTATTGTAATCATTGTACCCATTTTTTTTTACCTAAGAAGAACTGATTAAGCAAGCTGATCGCCTTTACGCACGATATTCATGGAAGACGCACAGTATTAACGTGACCTCTTTTATTATGGCAGAACATGATTGCAAGAACTCAAAGAAAGAATTATTTTCAATATGAACTCCCTAATGAAGTTATGATATATGTTTTTACATATGTTAAAAATCCTATTAATTTAACTGTAAGTTGTAAAAGATGGTCTCTAATATGTAAAGATTCTCAAGCAAAGGCAGAATGGATTATTTATCAATTTGGGCGAGCCCAATGCCTTTTCCACGCTGTTAGATTGGGACCTAAGTTTATCTCTGTTGATGTCGCTCGCGCTATTATTTCTAAAGGTGGAATTCTTTCGAGATATTTTGCGCAGCGTCTTCTCATACACTACGGAAATTATGACCAAAAGCTTATTGAATTAAAGATTGTTCATAGTGTAGGACAAGCAGATATTGATAGGATTAAGAATTTGCAGCAAAAAATGATTCCATGGGCGAGTAATCTGCCCATTTCCGTTTATATCTTTTTATTAACGGAGGCTTCATATCAATTCAATACTTACTTATACTTAAAAGGAAATGACATGGAACTTTTTCATTTTCTTACTGGAGGTCCTCATACAATTAATTATGCACCAACTGTTTTAGAAAAAAATTTAGATGAAATCAAGGATCTAATATTGATTATGAAATTTATACCATTTCCACCAAGAAAATCTAATGGAACGCAAATTAATTCCTCAGAAGAGTATCCGCCAAAAGATGGATATGAAACCAATAGGCAAATTAATGTCATTGCCAGAGCAATTTTAATCCATAAAGATCTAGTAAACCTTTGGAAAAAGATTGGTTATTATGAAATCTGTGAAGATGTTAATGACCTTGTAATGCAAGGAGCTCTTCTAATTCTTTTTCCACCTTCACAACCTCCAGGGTGGGCTAAACCTGATGTTAAAACTGTCAAGGCGCGACTTACTGAATTAATTGATTTAGGATTTCAATTAAGTGATAGTATTATTCTCGATATATTCCACCTTTTTGAAAGTCGATTGGATGAAGTTGGAAAGATTTTAATTGACTCTTTTACAGGCATTAAACAAGAAACACAAGATGTTTTCTTACGTAGATGTTTAGCCGTATCACAAAATCCTGCAAAAAACTTTACAAATATTACGAGTTTCTTTGACAAGTATTTATCCAACACAGCTGGAAAAGCATCCGATGATGCTTTTAACTTTTATTCAAGTAATTTAAAGCATCAAAATCTCGAATCTATAGAATTTCAAACACAAACACCTTATTAGACTTCTATTATAAACTAATCGTATACTATATTTAAATACGTGAGTACATTATTTTTCTTTTATATATCTAATTTTCTTTTTAAAGCAAACGATTTACAATTTATGATTTATATATAGAACGATATTTCCTTTGTTTCATACGATATTAAGTTAATAAATATGTAGAGTTTTATACGACTTTATAGATATTAAGACTAAGATTATATTTTTATAATGACTCTATAGATATTAAGGTGTAAAATTAAATTATAAATTTTAAGATACTCTATATTTTTTCCTATTTTAGAAGACATTATGGTTATTCCTTTTTTCCTATTTTAGTAGATATTATAAAAATATCATGTTATGATTACTCCATGGTGCATTATGTAGTGGTATGAATGGCCGTGAGAAAATTACAAGTCAACTCCTATGTAGTGAACAATTTTAATAGTAATGTATATAGATCTTTTTTCGTCTGTTTAAACATTTTTAATTGGCAATATCTGAAAACCGTGATCTGAGTGTGGGAAATTTTTGATTATTTAAAATATGTAATTATTGTAATATTTTGATCGGTTGCATGATTAATTCGTAATTAGTTATGGTGCCGGAAGCTTATACTCGACAATCACATGAAATGTTTCAATTTTCACATGATTGAAGTTGGCCAATAAAAAATTGAAAAA